ACTCTATATAGCTGTGAAGATAAAGACAATATATCTAATTTACATACAATTACCTAAGGGACCCCAAACAATGAAAGACACTGAATGAGATTTGGGCTCAGTTTTGAAGTAGAAAAGTGTTCTTATCAGCCATCAATAAACTTTCTTGCTATTAATGCCTGCAGATAAACCTTTAAATATATTATACTTAATAAAGTAACATATCATGTTCCACATTTCTCTGATTCAAACCATGGTGTAAAAATAAGCTACCTAATAAAATTCTTTCAGAGGACTCCTTTGTTGAGTGACATTTGTATACTGGAAGATGTTTTAGTGTGATAGGTGTACTAACAAGCTGAGTTGTCAATATCTTGGCAGGAGAAATAGGAAGAGAAAATAATGAAGGTGAAAAGGAGACTCAGTAGGACAATCAGTGAGTCAGAGGGACATACAGAAGGAAACAGAGGTAAAAAGCCATGTGGTAGATTAATAGAATCAGGTTAATTGAAGTTATATGAATGAATGGGACAGCCTAAGCTAAAGGCTAAGCTTTTGTAATTAATAATAAGTATCTGTGTCTTTGTGAGCTTGCAGCAAACTAAAAGTATGCTACGTTTGGCATTCCAACATGTGGCACAACCACAGAGACAGAGAAGTCAAGCCAGTTGGTACCACTGCAACTGCTGCCTGAAACTCTCTGCTTAAGGGGACTCTGGAAAGTAGGCTTAGCAACTTCACAGAGATAGGTAGATAAATATGGCTCCTCCTGGTACCTGCAGCATGAGGCTAGTTTCATGGAACCAAGCAGGGGAGAACCAAAAATCAACACCAAAAGCTAGTCATACAACAGAGGGTAACCAGGTTAAGGATTGGTTTAAATTGTCAGAGAATGCTACAGGCACTTAGCACGCTTAAAAATGTTCTTACATGCAAAAAAAAAAAAAAAAAAAAAAAAAAGAAAAGAAAAGAAAAGAAAAGAAAATGAATATAGTCAGTCATAAAAAATTGTTTTAAAATAATAAAGTAGGGCTGGAGAAACGGCTCAGCAGTTAAGCGCTATAGCTACTCTTCCAGAAGTCCTGAGTTCAATTTTCAGTAACCACATGGTGACTCACAAGAATCTGTAGTGAGATCTGGTGCCCTCTTCTGGTCTTCAGGGATATAAGCAGACAGAGTACTATATTCTTTTCCTTTTCTTCTTTTTCTATTTTTTAAATTTTATTTTACAAACAATCCATGTTTCACATGTCAGTTCTAGTTCCCTCTCCCTTACCTTCTCCTTCACTGACCCCCTATCTCATCCCCTTTCTGCTCTCCCGGGAGGATGAGGCCTTCCATGGAGGATCTTCAGAGTCTGTCACAACCTTTGGAGCAGGGTCTAAGCCCTCCCCCATGTGTCTAAGCTGAGAGAGTATCCCTCTATGTAGAATGATTTCCTAAAGTCCATTTGTACTACGGAGAAATATTGATCCAATACCAGAGGCCCCATAGTCTGCCTTGTCCTAACTGATACCAAAATTCAGGGGGTCTGAGTCTGTCCTATGCTGGTTTCCCTGCTATTAGTCTGGGGTCCATGAGCTCCCTCTGGCTCAGGGCTGCTGTTTCTGTGGGTTTCTCCGACCTGATCTTCACCCCTTTGCTCATCACTCCTCTCTCTCTCTGTAACTGGATTTCAGGAGTTCAGCTCAGTGTTTAGTTGTGGCTGTCTGCTCCTGTTTCCATCAGCTAATGGATGAAGGCTCTAGGAGGGTATATAAGGTAGTCATCAATCTCATTATCAGGGAAAAGCATTTAAGGTAGCTTCTCCACTATTGCTTAGATTCTTAGGAAGATTGAGTTGGGGGAAAATACAGGAGAGCAAGAAAAGAGTTACCATAATAGAGGGAGCCGTCTTAGGTCTAAAGAGAAACCTGGCACTAGGGAAATTTCCAGAGATCTACAACGATGTCCCCAACTAAGAGAACTATATTTTTAATAAGCAGGTAAATGAAAACAACAACAAAACAATACCGTTTACTCAAAAGAAAAAAATAATCCAAGTAAGGATTGAAAATATAAAGGGATACTGGATTCTACATTGTGCTTTGTTGACTTTGAATTTTAAATGCCAATGAACAAAATGTGAAAGCTTCTGAGAGATACTGGATTGTGGGAGAAAAAAAATACCCACTGAATTAAACCAGCCTATATATTTTAAGGATGTTTAACTTTAAAATATCAGAAAATAGGTTTTGTTGAAGGAGAGGTTATGCCCCTGTTTCCACAGAAAATAAAAGTCTATGGATTTCTTTAAATTAGTAAAGGTCAGTAGGTCTCTCCTGATCATCTTTGCTGAAAACATGAGGGGAAAAAAACAGGAGAGACTATAGGACAGGAGATGTGTTTGCATGGGAACAGCTCTGAGATTGGATGCTACATGCTAAACCTTGTTGGCCACAGAATATTTGTGACTTATTATTATATGCCATCCTTTCTTAAGGCATGGGTATAGATTTGGTTTTATAGTCCAAACAGATTTATAAAGTCAACAGACATCATTTACTGCTCAGACATGAAACAAAAAATTATCTTCAACTGATTTGTATACATTGCATACTGTGTTAGCACAGATATATCTTTTATTTTTAAAAGTTTGTGTATTTCCTGAAAACAAAAGGACCAGGCAGTAATAAAGACAAGTATCCCAGATAATCCATCCACTGAGAATGTTTCTGCTGCAGTTTCCTCAAAATTCTAGATACATAACAACTTCAAAGCTGCTAGTTGAGATGATCCAGACTCACAGACTATAGCAACCAATACTACAGAAAACTTCTACTGTTTTCCATCACACCAAGACTAAAAAAAAGTTAATGCAGTTAGCTCTCCCAGGACTTGACTATTATCCCAATTTTCTCAGGGTCCTCTAGACATGCTGTCACTCCAAGACAAATGGAAGCAGTCTAGAGAATACAACATCCACATTCCCAATAGCAAGTGGTTTTTGATCATTCAGTGTTTATGGATATTTGTTATTATTCAGGGGAATTGGTTACAGGTTGTTGTTGTTCACGGTCAAGGGGAAAGCTAAACAAAGAGATTAGATTAAAGAAACATGTTCTGAAATGAAAAAAGCATGAATATTGTACAGAAATTATAGGATTAAATGATGGTGTGTTGAGTCTACCTTTGAACTAAAAAGCAACTCAAATATTTTACATCGGTATGGATGTACATACATCGGTATGGATTTTTATATTGATACAAATTTAAGGATATTTTTGTTTTAACATAATACACACACACACACACACACACACACACACACAGAGAGCTGCTTGGGAACAAGCCTAATTGTAGGCTGAGATTTCATAATTAATAAGAAATCTCTGTATCATTATTTGGGAGCTAGCTGGCTGGACGAAGAAAGACTCATACTCTATTGAAACAGAATAAGGTATAAATCTTTTACAATGACCTTAGGGCATTTACACTCTCTCACATCAGATTTGAACACATTCCTCCAGTAACACTGGAGCAAATACTATATAGTATTTGCTAGATTCTTATGAGTATCCTTGATTATGTTGTTTCCTAAGAGTCTAGGTCAGTGAAAACTATCTTGAAATATTGCCTTGTTTCAGTTTCCTGACCCATGTCATTTCAACATGACTGCTTTGATCCCTCACTATAATGGACATTTCTGCAATTGGTATGTGCTATTAATGACTTGGTAGACAGTGATTGCATTAAGGTACCACATGAACAGAGGTATAATATTTCACATTAATAAATTTTGTTCATCTTTTCTGTCTTCCTATTGCAACTAATTTACGCATTCACTTGTGTGCTCAGAAAGTTTAAATGGAAAGAATATGAGATGTCAGGGTTACTATGATACTTCATCTCTGGCAAAGCTCTTAATATCTCAATACATTGTTGTTTTCTCAAGTTCTAACATTAACTGTGATGAAAATAAAAGACAGTATGAATCTCAGGGAATTCTGCTGAAGAGAAAGAGGAAGGATTATAGAAGCCAGAGGGGTTAAGGACATCACAAGAAAACCCACAGTATCAACTAACCTGGGCTCAAAGGGGCTCACAGAGACTGAAACTACAACCAGAGAGCCTGCATGGGACCAATCTAGGTCCTCTGCATATATGTTACAGTTGTAGAGCTTGGTCTTCCTGTGGAACTCCTAACTGTGGAAATATAAGCTGGCTCTAACTCTTTGCTAGCTTTTGGGATCCTATTCCTTATACTGGGTTGCCTTGTTTGGCATTAGTACATAGGAGGAGATGTACTTAGTTTTACTGAAAATTGATATGCCATGTTTTATTGACAGCAATGGGAGGCCTGCACCATTCTGAATAGAAAGAGAAAGGGAGAAGAGGCAGGAGAACTGTGATCCAGATTCAAAGAAAGAAAAAAAAAGAAAAAAGAAAAAAGAAAGAATTATATATCTACTTGTAATTATATACCCATTTTATATACCCATTTTGAATATTTCTACAATGTGAAGATTACCCCATATTCATATTGTTTTATTTTTAGACTATGAAGTTTTCCAACTTCTTTATAGAGCTGATATGTAATAAAGCCCCTAAGAACACTCAAAATTTCTCTATTTATGCAAAGAGTGCTGCAGACAGTTGGATATTATCATGACCTGATGTACATTTTATATTTTCACATGGAAAATTATTTCTCACAAAGACTACATAGTGAAATCATTTTTGTAATCTGTTGCTAAATGTTAACACTGTATGAATAAACATAGGTAAATGATGAATGAGACCTTTTTTTAATACAACTTAAAGCAGTGCATTTATGTCTAAGAATGCTTCCATATTAATTCTGTTCTCACATTTTCAGAGAATGTGCATGTTTTCCATGTTTTTTAGATCTTGCAGCCATTTTGATCATAAAATAAATTAAATTTTGAACATAAGGAAGAATCACACCAGTGTCTTTGCAATCTACTTCCATAACTGATTCTGATCATTTGGGAAGTAGCTCTGTTCAATCCCTCCATTACCTGAATCCATGGCCATCTGTCATTTTCAGCAGCTGTCCAGGCATTTATGAGTCCCTTCTTATTCAGCCGAGCATAGTAGGGATACCACTTCTGGAGTCCAAAAAGAGCTCGGTGGGTAGATGAGGCTGTGATCTGCTGATTTGATATGATCCCACCTTCGATTCCCAATGGCCCAGAACATTCTGGAAAGAAGCCATGAAAAATGTGTAATTGTATCAGAAATCGTAAGGATGGCAGTCTTACAGCAAAAGCATTCAGTGAAATTATTTGTACCGTATACTATGTCAGCCCTTCCCAGCTGGCAGATGTGTTGCTACATTTGCAAATAGTGACCGGTAGTTGTGACACTGTACACTCACTGTATTTTGAAATGGCTTCTCAGAATCTCAGCTTCTATATTATTTAGATTTGTGCAGATGTGTTGTCTTAAATTTAGAGATATATCTGTTGATATCCTGGCATTATGCTGAACCTGCTTCCTGTCAACTAACAACCAACATTCAAGTAGATATTTAGCATGCTCAAGAGCCCTGTGTTGCATGGCTACCTCATGCCTTATATGGCTGTATCACACATTGCATTGTTGCATAATAAGGACTCTATATGCATGTGCAAGCTTTCCCTTTTAAGCAAGCACCATCCACCCTCCCTTACCTTCCCTTCCTATCCTGGTCTACAAACACCAACTTCCCTATCCCCTTGCCCCATCCCTAATAAACTCCACGTGGATTTTGTTGAGTTTTGTGGTTCAATCTTCACTGTAGTCGCTGCAGCAAAACAACAACATCAGCAAAAGCTACTTCTTTTACAATTCCTATATTTTATACAAGAAACAGAATTAATCCTATTTCACATTTCATATTGACATAAATTAGTAATACTCAGGAGTCTTTAATCTTTCAGAGATATAATTTGGTAATTTTTTCATAACAATAAAATGATGACTTTTGAATCAAAATTATTGTGTTAGTGTTTTTCACTCCTATAAACATTCAAACTTTAATTTTGTATTAAATCAGTTATGCTTCATAAAATATCAATATATAATTTGTTGAAATTTATAGCATAATAGTTACCTATGGCATCTAAATTGCCAAAAAAGTTATATTTAAAATTCTTTTATTCAAAGAATATTTAACTATGAACCAGCATGTTAGACATTTTCATACTTACAATATTCAATGAACTTAAAATGTTATCCGAAATATTTTATTGAAATTTTACAATTCTGCATGTTTAGTTTGTGTATTTAAAATTTAAGCACCTATCAATTTTTACAAATGTGTAATGGTAAGTTAAAACATTCTTTTTTTTATTGTTACTTTGTTATTTTTAAAACTATCTTATTTTTACCAATCCCAATTACCCTTCCCTCCTGTCCTGTCTTTCTACTCCCCCACAAACTTCCCCCACCCCACCCCCATCACTCTTCAGAGAAGGTAAAATTTCTCATGGGAAAATCTAAAATGTCTGTCATATCACTTGAGGCAGGACAAGAGCCCTTTCTCCTGTACTAGACTAGGCAAAGTATCTTTCCTTAGGGGATGGGCTCCAAAAAGCCAGTTTATGCACTTGGCATAAATAATGACTCTGAAGCTAAAGGTCCTAAAAATAGCGCACGCTATCCAATGTCACTCACGTTCAGAGGACCTAGTTCAGTCTTATGCAGGTTCCCCAGCTGACATCCAGAATCCGAGCTCCCACTTGCTCAGGTCGGATATTTCTGTGGATTTCCCCATCATATTACTCATTTTATCATTTACTCATATTACTCATTACTCATTTACTCATATTATCATTCCTCCCTCTCTATGACTGGATTCAAGGAAGTCAGCTAACATTCTTAACAAAGTAATTTTAGTTGCTAAGATTAAAGCATAGATTAAGATCATATGCTCTTACAAATGAAATATGTTTAATTCTGAAAAATAGTATTGAAGTCAAAGTCATATACAGTTATATTATAAATATACATTATGCAGTTTATAAAACTTCATTTATTTTAAATTTAGTTTTAAAGATTCAATACTAGTAATATAACATAGTAATAGGTAGTAACTGACTTTAAATTTCATTAACATTCCATATGTTGAATTTTTATGATGCAGATTTGGCTAATCAATAATAATTCTATTATGATATCTATTATAAATATATGAATTACTAACACTGTGAATAGAAATAAATGCCCTTATTAAATGTCAATACATAAAAATCATTTTGATTGGTTATTACTACCAAGCTACTTTAAGTTTTAATTAATTTAATTACTTTATTAATTATATTTAATTGAATTTAATCATTTTGGTTCTTATTGGTCACTGTTTGCTTTGACATAGGCATGTTTCTTATTTCTAATACATGCTCTTTAGATTATAGCTCTTTGAAAATTATGAACACTTGAATGATTTTAAAACTTTAAAGAAAGAAATATGTATAAGTAATTATTTCATCATATTCTTTGAAGACACAGAAGGTTAACATAGTAAAATGGCTTCTTTGTAATTAAAAATTGAAGACATTCTTTTGAATAGTTATATATTGATAATATGCTCTTTTCAAATGTGCATTTGGCCTGTTTATCACTTCTAAAAATAACATCTTATTATGAAGTCATTTACATTTAAAATTACAATTTAGGAACTGCATAATAAACTAATTCTCATATTTTTTTATAAATATTTTTTCTATTTTTACATATTGATCCCAGTTCCCTTTCCCTCCCATGCCCCACACAGACCCCTCTATCCTAACTCCCATTCATTCCCCAGGGAGGATGAGGCCTTCCCTTCCATGAGCGACCATCAAAATCTGCCAAGTCATTTGGGGTAGGGCCTAGGACATCCCCCATGTCTCTAGACTAAAGGAGTATCCTCCATGGGGAATGGACACCTGATGTCTGTTCCTACCCTAGGGATATAGCCTGGTTCTACTGGCAGAGGTCACTTAGACTGCCCAGGCCTTCTAACTGAGACCCATGTTCAGGGGTTCTGAGTCGGTTCTATGCTGGTTTTCCAGCTATCAGCCTGGGGTCCATGAGCTCCCCATTGATCAGGTCAGCTGTTTCTGTGGATTTTGCCTGTCTTGACACCTTTGCTAACTTCTTTTCCCTTTCTGCAACTGGATTCCAGGAGTTCTGCTCAGTGTTTAGATGTGGGTATCTGCTTCTGCTTCATTTAACTACTGGATGAAAGCTCCAGAATGGCATATAAGGCAGTCGCCAGTCTCATTAGCAGGGAAGGGTATTTAAGGTAGCCTCCCCACTGTTGCTCAAATTGTTAGCTGGGGTCATTCTTGTAAGCCTCGGGTCAGATTTCTCTTTAAACGTATAATGGATCTCTCTACATTATGGTATCTCTTTTCTTGCTCTCCTCTATTCTCTCCCTGATTCAATCTTCCTGCACACTAATGTTCTTTTCTTCTCTCCTTCACTATCTCCTAAGTCCCTCTACCCTCCCTGCTCCCAATTTGGTCAGGAGATCTTGTTCACTTTTCTCTTCTGTGGGGGACTATGTATGTCTCTATTAGGTTTTTCCTTGTTACCTAGCTTCTCTGGCAGTGTGGATTGTAGGCTGATGATCCTTTGCAGGTACAGGAGACTGCTTCCTGAACATAACACCTGTAGCACCGACACTGAGATGGACAATTACTAAATGGGACCTCCTGAAACTGAGAAGCTTCTGTAATGTAAAGAACACAATCAACTCGACAAAATGGCAACCCACAGAGAGGGAAAAGATATGCACCAACCCCACATCTGACAGAGAGTTGATCTCCAAAATAATTCTCATAATCTTAAATACTTCATATTGAAAAGCTCAAATGCTAATACTTTGGACTCTAATTTTTCTTTTACATTTTAAGCCTTAAGAAGTTTACAGAATCAATAAAAGTCTATTAAACTTCCATGATTCACTTACTCATGATTAGATTATAAAAGTGCAGAAGCCTGGATTTTTTTTTTTTATGAATATCATGATTACTTGTCTATAGTTCTTTGTGTAAAGGGTGAAGATTGCACCTATGTTTTTCAGGAATGTACAAGAATACAAACATTTGTGTATATAACAATTATTAATGAAAAGAGAAGCTATGCATTTGGAAGAGAACAAGCAGGGGCACATGGCGGGGTTTTGATGGAGGAAAGCAAAATAGGGAATGACATAATTATATTACATCTCAAAAAAATAAATGTAATTAAAAAGATTATCACCATTAGAAGAATTTCAAGGACCCTTGTCTGCTCTTTGTTAATGTTTGATACAAAGATGTTAAAAGCATTGAGGCCATTGACTGCAGACTGTTTATTTTAGATCACTGAATAGATTGATAGTCCTGTGGAGCCTAGCTTGATCAATTACACTACATGGCTTCTTTAGCAAGAACTGGATGGCATTTAGGGATGCACATCTAAATACCTTATGTTGTTTTCAGTACTTTGAAAAAAGACTAGATTTTCAACTACACTGTTCAGTAGATCATTGTAGGTTTTACCTTATACTACCCATTTATTTTTCTTAGGGAACACAACAGAAGCTACTGGCTATTAACTTTCACAATGTCAAAAGCTGAATACAAGTGGATGATGTTCACTTTGTTGCTATCTTTTTTTGCTTTAATTTTCAAACTTCTGTATGAAAGAGTTCAACTAGTATAAATTAAGAGTAGATCCTACAGGTTTTAGTACACAGACTATGAGGTTTTTTTACATGTGTGTCAAGGTAACTCAAAGAAATTCTCCTTATTGTATGAAATTCTCCTTTAAGCTTCATAAAACATAGGTGCTGATAATTCACGAAATCTGTGTTAACCACTATTGGTCAACTCAGTCTTTACTAGAAACTGACATATATAGGGGAATTACTTCTTCATGTTTTGGATGCTCAAAGATTGCAAAATTGAAGGCAAATTTCTCTCTATCATAATTATATACAAGCTCACAGACAATAGGGCCATCTGGAAATGTACCTGTGAAATTTTATATGTACATAATCCTCAGTGTCACCTGGCTTGTACCAACCAAAGAGTGGAAGAGTAGATGCTGTGGTAGAAAGAAACTCTTCTGGGACTAAGAATGTAGAATCTAGAACATTTGTGCTGATGTATAATGAAGAAAGCTGGAAGTCTCATTCCTGTCCCATATAAACAGCACCACATGGTGATGCATTAACATGAAGCAAAG